GAAGGTCCCTTAAGTTGAGCATTTCACTCATCTAGAAGAAAGTTGAGACGAATGGATGTCCACAGGTGTGCTGCCGTTCACTCGTAGTGTACGCTATCATCACAGCGCACGCCAGTACATATTTGATTGCCAGCGCACAGGTTCCAACGGCACGGCAAAATTTGATCCATGAACCACCGCAAGTACCACGTATCGACAATGGCCTCAACAACGACTGCACGAATGAAACCGGCAATGCTTGGCATTCGAAGCATTAAGAGCAAAAGTGGAACCCAAAACGTATTGACAAGGGTAATGTACACAGCTTCGACAGTGAAACGGTAGTTGACATAGCAACGTACCCGTCCACCGAACAACGATCACATGGAACCGACTTCAAGTTCATGCCACCATGCAGTTTTGGAGTAAGTGTTGATTGAGTGGATGTGTATCACGGTTTCAATGAGAGCATCCGTGCTGGAAGTTGTACTCACAAAGAGCAGATTGGGTACGAGTCTCCACGGACAAGACGGACAGCGCGAGAGGTATGACTTGTTTTTTAATGTGACCACCTACTCTGCACTTTGTTGATCGACTGCGTTTTGATTCTTATCACGACGCTGTCGTCGTACACAAGGAAAGCGACTGCAAAAAGTCGCATCAAGAGGCACAGGAAAAACGCACATTGCGACCAGAGTAGATGACACGTGTCGACAATACACGAAAACATGCAGAAACACTGCCTTCAGTACTAATGAGCGATTGATGTTCAAAGAATGAACGAAGTCGTTGTTCTTGACTACTGCTGGTATGGTCACAATGGCAAATGGGATATCGACGGCGGCTGAAAAGCTACGGAAACTCGCGACTTCCACACAACATCTGATCCTCGACCTGAGCACCGTTGTGCATTCTTCTGAAGATGCGGGGTCCGCAAGAAGATCGAAATTCACGTGGACGACGGTACCCGCCGGAAGGGGTGGTGTCATGCACGTATAGTATCGGAGGACTGGAAGGACCATCGGTTTCGTCACGGCTTTCTAGTCGTCAGTGGAAAAACATCCGCGAAAAAGAAGGTGAAAAAGACGGGAGTCGGTTCTAGAAAACAGCCACCTCAGGTGTATGACATTTTGAATCGGACGGTTCAAACGCTACTTTCGACAACATTCGATCGAAGCACTTCAACATCATCATGATCGGTCTGCCTCTGTCTGCACGCCAAGAGAGCGGCGACCCACGTCCCCCTTCATTTCCCAATTTGCATCCAACCGCACGATCGACCAGTAGCAACAACCCACACACGACAAAGTCACGCAACCATGTTTAGCTCGTGGGATCTCGTACGACCGCGCTTCTGGTACCCCATGTCATCTCTGGAACAGTCCATGATGGAGCTCGAGCACATGAGTGACAGCATGATGCGACCGCGCTTCCCTTTTGGGGCGCGTCGAGAGATGCTCGCCACTCAAACTCCAAAGCACGTCATGTACTCCGGGAAGTCGACGGACGATGACGACTTCTTCGTCGACCTGCCTGTGGTGGCACACAAGTACAAGCCGACGGCGTTCCAACCGGTGCAAAACGCACCGCAACAGGATCAACAAGTATCCAGCACCAAGACATTGAAGGATGACGACCCGATGAGCCACTCGTTCTCGTCTTACTCGTTCAGCAACTCGTCTGTTGTGGACGAGAAGGGTCGACGAGTGGCAACGACGCGTCGCCGCTACGAAGACTCCACGGGTCATCTCAAAGCGGTGCATGAACGAGAGATCGACGGAAAGAAGATGCGCACAACTTGGCGACGACAAGGCAAGGGAGATGATGAACAGCACGAGTCCATCTGCTCGAGCGGTAGTCCGGAGGAGTTTGAAGCACTGTGGCAGCAGACGCCATTCGGTGCGGCACAGAAGACGTCAGTGAAAGGCCAGCTGCAGGCCGAGTCAGAAGTTGATCGAGACGTGACACCGTCGATGACACCTGCGCCGCTGGCGGACACTACTGTCCATGAAAAGTCAACGGAGATGACATCGACGGAGAAATGCGCGGAGGTAGAGACAGAAAAGAAGCACAACTTGTAGTGTCCACCCCCACGATTGAACAATTGAATGGAGGTTTGTTCTTGTGAAGAAGAAGAAGCATTCGTTGGTGTTACCATTTGCATTGATGCGCTCAAGTGCCGTCTATCTGTAGGCAAGCTGCGAGTCGATACACTTGTCTGCATCGGACGGTATCCTCAATCGATAAGGACACATAGGAGTATCGAGATACGCGTTTACGAGTGTAAATGAATGAGACGTCCGACTTTTGGGTACCCGTTCATGAGAAGCTTTTTAGCTTCCAGTATCTCAAGCTGCAGGATAGGAGGTTGTGGAGTGTTGAATTGTAGGACTTGAAGCGCCTTTGATGCGCTTCGAGATTGAAGAAGTTGCTGCAACAGCGGAATATCGTGGACTTGCATCGGTTCTGATCGTCATGTGTTATCCATGTGGTAACAATATCATGTTCCTCAATGTAACCTGAAAAGAAAGCACATGATTGTTGCAAAGAAGGTTAAACCGAAGTGAATATATTGAAGGTCCTTAATTCACTACCCTCAGCTAAGTCTAAGCCTTTATGTAACGAACTCCTCTGATCTCATTATGTAACCGCGATCCATAACATTTATCTATAACCAACACCATGAAACACCCTGACACACAAATCATTACCTTGAACCCAACATGAAACGACTGCATTAAGCGGCGTAAACTCAACACTCCCATTCGCCTCTACTGTGTGCCGGTCTTGGAATCTGGCTTGTCTTAATCCCGGTTGCCTCGCACATAAATTTTATTATCTTGGTTCCGAGTGCCTGTTAAGCGTATCCGCGAGTTGATTTTTCGTGTCAATGTAGTCGATCTTTAATATTACGTCTTGCACATATTCAAGGAACAAAGTGATGTCTAACGTCCACACGCTTTGTCCAAGCGTGGTATACGGGTTTGTTGGCCAAAGCAATCGCTCGTTGATTATCTTCCCACCTCTCACTTGTTCGTGACCCATGTCCTTTAGCATCGCACGCGTCCAAAGAACTTCTTAGGTGCAAAAATGAGCGTCATACATTCAGCTCCCGTCCAGCTAAGCGCAACCGCTCGCTGCTACTTCGACTTGAACACCACTGGTGCGCTTGCAATCATGGCCATAACTGTAGCGGAGTTACACAGCTCCTTAAGTCAGAGGAAGACTTAACGCTCTACGAGCAGCTTAGTTCCAAAGAACATGCGATTTTACGAGTCAACAAGCTTTACAGCTTCAGATCCCTGTTCCAGGTAACCTAACGATCCAGTGAATCGACAGCATTCAGTGCTCAAGAGTAGCTACCTCAAGGAGGTGTTGCTTACTCTTGGTGATCAGTGATCAACGATCAAGACGACTCGCACGCCACGTGTCCTTTTGATCAAAATGGGAACTGCTTTTATTTTGGTTAAAGCTTATAGAATATCTCAATCCTACTCAAAGACCTTTCGTACTTAATGGCTGACACTCGTCAGCCCCTACAAACCGAAAGGATATTCTCTATCACCTTCACAAAGGGGTAACTTCAGGTGTGTAACACCTCTGGTACAAAGTACCATAATTTCGTGGAACCCCGTTACACCCTCCCCCACCAGACTGACGTTTCCCAAAACGTCAGTCGAGCTTGTGTTCTCAGCGAGAACAGTGTGTGTACGGTAAACCTCACGGCAACGTACGCTCTAGCACGATGTCCTCATCACCCAACGAGTCAAAGACTCTGTGGGACTACCTCGGAATTGAGGAAGAGGTGGACTATGATAGCGATACCAGTGTCCGCGGTGACACAGGGACAACGTCCGGCTCACTGATGCCTGAGGCACAACTTTCGAACACCCCAAATCCGTTCGCTGAACGTGGAGGTGCGAGCGCGCCGCCAGCGCAGCATGCAGCATCTGGTTCTGATGAGACTATCATCGCGAACCCGCTCGATGAGCAACAACAATTGCTTGTCCAAAGAGAAGAAAACGCTCAGCGTTATGTACAAATGGCTGCAACCCTTGAACGCCAGCTTGACTATGTGTTCACCCCACCCAGTGTGGAGGAACGTCTACGTCAAGCGGCCGGCCAAACATTGGCAACGTGGGTCATTGGCCATGGGCCTAAGACTCCTGAGGAGGTGGTGAGCTGCCAGGCACTTCGTGAGAGATACCTGGAGCCGCACCTAACGACTCAAAGTCAATACAAGGCACGCCTGACATGCAAGCACGTGGTGCACCGGTTCCACCGATCAAGAGTATACCCATTCTCTTGCTCTCAGGTGAAACAGTGAGCGAAGAAGACGATGCCTTCGTTCATTGGGTGCACTATGTGCGTCGCCTCAGCAACATTTTTGCTCTAAGGGCTAGTGCCCATGCGGCGGATGTGCGTCTCGAACGCAAGCTTCGGTATGATTATGCCGAGCTTAAGGCCAGAGACCAATTGCGCAAGCGCACGCGCTATGCTTCGGCTACTAAGGTCGCCGCGAGTGCTGGTCAGTCTGTGACCAACAACCCGCCAACCCGCACCACTAGTGGTGGGTAACGGCCTCGGTCTCGAGATGACCATGGCTACGATGCTCAAAAGCATCCAATGCATATGGGCAGTCTTGACGAAGGGGTTCCTCAAATTCCCATGAGTTTTCAGACTCAGGGTATCCACGCCACTTTACCAGATACTGATATTGGCCATGACGACGACGTCGTTTTAGTAGTATCTCGACATGAAATTGACGACACCCATGCTCGTCGAGCAAAGTCGGTGGCGGCCGGTGTACCGGTGGAGGCCCACGAAAAATTGGTTCTCGAAGTGAGGGGTCTTCAAGAGGCCTTGGGTAAGTCCCAGTGCATGCCGGATGCGATGCAAAGCCGCCTTCAGGCGATGGAGCAAGCTCAAACTCGGAGCGAGGGTCAGTTGGACTTGCTGATTCGTCTACAGCAATCCGGGGCAGTGCCCTTGTCGTCGGCGCAAGCGCCTCCAAGTTCACATGGGAAGGATCCCGGTACGGCTTAAGTAAGCCTACGTAGAACACTGGATGTGTGCGCAATTTGCGCGGGAGGTTTAGCGTATACGCAAGTCCCTTCTTGGCCGTGACCGTAAACGGTCCAATAAAGCGTGGACGCAACTTTGTCTTAAAGACAGCAGACACTACATTTGTAGGTAGATTTTTAGCATTGAGTAGTACTTGGTCTCCGACCTCGTAAAGATCAATGCAATTTCTGCCTTTGGCATCAGCTTGTTGTTTTTGGGTATCTTGGCTATCAGCCATTGCGTCACGCACATGTCTTAAGACGTTTAATCGCGTTGCGAGAAACTCCAAGCCCTGAATCACGTAGTGATAGCGTTAACGGAACGCGAGGGTGAGTGAGACCGTTTATATAGGACGGAGTAAAGCCTGTTGAGGCATGAACAGCGTTATTCAACGCAAACTCAATAACAGGAAGCATTGAGCTCCAACGCCTAGGCGTACCAGCGCAAACACTGCGCAAAATGTCATTGATTACGCGGTTAACACGCTCAGTTTGACCGTCGGTCTGCGGATGATCCGCTGTGGACATGTCCAACCGAGTGCCAAGAACCTTGAAGATAGACTTCCAAACCTTTTTAGTGAAGCTGGGGTCTCTATCAGAGATAATTGCCACCGGCAAGCCATGTTGGTGAAACACACGGTCGATAAACAGCTTTGCTGTGCCTTCAGCATCAATGCTATCCGGCACAGCCGCTAAGTGAGCCATCTTGCTCAATCGGTCAACATAGACCACAATACCAGTGTCGCCTTCCGATTCTTTCGGTAGGCCAAACACAAAATACATGCTCATGGACTCCCAACAACCAGTGGGTACTGGAAAACTAGCCAGCGGCGCCGCCGAATGTGCCGAGGGTTTTACCCGTTAGCACGTTTTGCACGTACGCACATAGGTGCGCACCCACTTCTAAAGTTTGGGCCACCAATAACTTTGGCTCACCGAGCTATAAGTCTTCTCACGACCGAGATGACCACTTAAAGCAGTATCATGTGCCTCATAGAGGATTCGATACTTTGATTCCTCATAATGAGGTACAGCGATACGAGGCTTATCTTCAATATCCGTGCGATAGCACAACAGGCCATTATCAATGGAATATCGATATAGCCTCGCACAAAAACGTGCCGACAACTCGATGTCCGAGTCTCTAAACTCATCGCTCCCAAGATCACGTAGCAAAGCTACACACTGATCGTCCTTGGCATATGCCGCACAAATTAAGTCAGTGACTGACGACAAAAGAGTCGTAACATGAGCAAGCTCATAGTCAGTTCGACGCGGTAGCGCATCAGCCAAAGCCTTTTGCTTACCTGGCTTGTACTTCACCTCGAAGTCATATTCGGCAAAGAAGGAAAGCCAACGAGCCAATCTCTGCGAGAGATGAGGCGCCTGTGTCGCATTGCATAATGACGCATGATCTGTATCGATCACAAACAGCTTTGAGTCAAGCAGATGTACTCTGAATTTTACAAGAGCGTACTTCATAGCAAGTAGCTCTTTGTCATGAACAGGATAGTTCTTTTCAGCAGTTTTCAGCTGCCGAGACTCAAATGCGATGACGCATTCGCGTCCATCGACATCTGTTTGTAACAGAGCACTGCCTCTGGCGAAGTCAGATGCGTCACAGACGACACTGAAAGGCCGATCAGGATCGGGCAAAGCCAATATTGACGCATAAAGGAGACTCTCCTTAACTGCTTCAAAAGCATTATGGTCGGTGTTACCCCAACACCAATCCACATCCTTTTTAAGGAGATTGGACAATGGCCGAGTTATATCTGCGTAATTCGCACTGTACTTCTGTAAGTAATTGGCAAGGCCAAGCCACTTACGTAAGTCCTTTTGGTTCATAGGAAACGGTCAATTGACTATGTCATTTACCTTAGCGGGATCCGCTCGAAGGCCTCGCTTTCTAGTGAAGCTCCCTAGAAAGGGAATCTCTTCTGCACCAAATATGCACTTCGATGCGTTCGCATACAACTTATTCGTTCGCATACACTCGAGCACCGATCGTAAATGATCGATGTGGTTATCCACATCTGATCGCCCATTCATTGCACTACTAAGGACAAAAATGTCATCAAAGTACGTTTGTGCATAGCCTCGATGAGGTCTGAATAGTTGCGTTACCAGCCGGAGAAACGTAGCCGGGGCATTTAATAGCCCTTGTGGCATAACGAGCCACTCCCAGAGCATACCGCTCGGAGTACTCACCGCTGTTAGTGGAATATCACTTGCTCGCATAAGCAGTTGGTAATAACCATCGACTAAGTCGAGTGCACTGTACAATGTACATCCCGCCATATTGTTCTGAAGAACATCCTTTCTAGGAATAGGCGTCTGCGCCGGAACAGTGGCTGCATTAAGCTTATTGTAAGCATGCACAATACGCCACTTGCCATTTGGCTTTTTGACACAAAATGTCGGTTTTGAATGGGAAGACTTGCTCTCACGAACCATTCCAGCCGCGTGCTTATCACAAAAGAATTCGTCAATGACGTCACACTGTTATTTAGGCAAAGGCCACTGCCGTGTTACACAGTATTTAGTTCCAGGAACTAAGTCAATTTCATGACGTACACCTCTATCGGGAGGTAAGGCAGAAGGTGGGTTGTGACACACCACATCTTGAAATTCCTTAACTAAAGGATAGAACGGATCCAAAGGATCTTTAAGGATCGAAGATCCACTTCGTGAACTAAGTACCGCCTTTGTATCCTCTAGGATAGACTCATCCATTAACGAGGAAAGATTCAACTCAGTATCAGGTCTAATGACCGCTAATTCGGATAACTCTCCTGCCTTTGAGGCCTGGCTAAACTCGCAATTAGACATTTTGTCTAGCTCACACAGAGCGTCCAAAGATTGAAGGGTTTCAAGGCAAACACTGCCATCAACCTGACCAGTCACTTTATTAACAAGTGTATATAGTGTATTGCTAATCTCACTGTGAGGACGCCTGGCGCTTTACAGCTGCTACTCGGCGTCTCGATTGTCTCTTCGAGACCTTACACCCCTTAGGGGTCGGGACAATATTGTCCCCATGGTTACTACCAACCATAGTACGCTCTACACGAGAGCTTTTGTCTTGACCGACATTAGGTGTGGTGCCCTCACGGCCGTCCACTCTATACGGCGTATCGCCAACAGTGTCATTACTGACATTAGGTGTGGTGCCCTCACGGCCGCCCACACCATATGGCGAATCGCCAACAACGCCATTACCGGCGCTAAGCGTGGTGCCCTCACGGCCGCCCACACTAAATGGCATATGGCCAAAAATGTCATTACCGACATTCAGTGCGGTGCTCTCACGGCCGACCGCACTCGGTGTAGTTTCACGTGCCTCCATACACACATCAAAGGAATCACATCCTTGATCACTCGGCCCTAGGCCAACCATGCTTTCAGCATGCAGTGACTCGTTATCACAACGAGTACCACTCAACGGAGTACGTGCCGTTTCACTAGTTTTAGACGAGCTAGACTCGAAACTTACGTTTTTAACGTTGGAGTTAAATAACTCAAACATTCCAATATCCAGCACATTGACATCTTCTGTCAAACGCTCGCGCCAATAGCGCTTCTGTTGCCTAGCAAAGGTGGGCTCATGACTTTCCAAAACTTCGCTAGGAGCATTGCGCGAGGCGCCTTAAGTCTTAGACCTTTAATCGATCCTTGGATCATGGCGTTCAAGCCAAGCCATACCTAGGATGAGATCATATCTCAATTCCAAATCTAGGACAAGACAGCGCTCAATACTGTCAAAGTCTAAAAACTTTATACCTAAGTTCAATGGAACTTTAGGCACCGTTACGCGACTTCCAGTCGCTAAACGAACCGTGATAGAATCACCCTCATGCGCTGTAAGCGCCTCAGCATACTGTTGAATTCCATGAAGCGAACGACGTCGAGTATAATTGCAAGACGCTCCAGAATCGATCAATATCGACCAAGGCTTCTCGAAGCCCTTAATTTTCGCCTCGGCGACCAACAAGCCAGACTTGTGTACGCGCACCTTAACTTTAGGTATGGTACTCTTTGGGGCTAAGCCCTGCATTCCTCTACCTTCTAAAGGTGTAACAGAACATAGTTCTTCCCCAGTAGGGCGCCCCGCGCCTACTGGGTGTCGGCATTTCTCCGTGCCATGCCAGACTTCTGACTCGGGATAAGGTATTGGCCTTTAGTCTGACGCTGTTTACGCAAAGAGAAACCAGGCCGCAAGTGGTTAGTGTTTCCGCACGTAAAACATCGTCGTACAACGCGTTACTGCTCAGCAGCTTGAAGTTCGACTTCACCTTCATCTTCAGCATAGACGACATCTATGGGTTCCGGTCTGTTAAGGGCCGGACCACTTGTGGAGTTTGCTCTCGCAGGGCTAGGGTTGTAACCATTCTAGCCAAGCCTAGCCGACTTGAGGTTATGCTCAGCATTAAGAGCAATTCTCACAGCCTCTTCAAGCGTAGAGGGGTGAACCCGAAAAACCTCGGTTCTGACAATGCCAGAACTTAGACCTTC